CTGACCGATGAGGATATGGAAGCCAGGATAAGAGAGGGACTTGGCTTGGGGACATGACAAGGCACTAGCAGCCACCTCTGAACTCCCAAATCCCAGCTCTCCCACGCTGGCCGACGAGGGCTCCCCGGGCACTCTCCATGCTCCCTGGCTGCAGCAGTGGGAGGGGCGACCACCTGGGCAGCCCCAGGAAACCACTGGGGTATTTGACTTTTAATCTAACCCTTTAATATCACTTTGGGCTTAGGGCCCAGAGTCAGGTGCCCGATTCCTGGGGTGAAAGTCCCCGGTCCGCCACTCTGGCGGGTATAAAATTAGCCTTCGTTTTGCCATCTGTAAAATGGGAACCAAGACAACAGGACTTAGCAACCAGCAGCCATGAGGCTTAAATGAAACAAGGTGCTCCACGTGTTTAGCACGGGGCTGGTGGGTGCTCAAGAAGCGCTGACCGCCACTGTCAGTTAACGCTGAGCAGGAGGAGAAATTGCCCAGTCCCTTGCAAGCATCCCTCAGCTGGAGTCCAGCTCAGGGGAGCCTGGCCGGATGTGGTTTTGGGTTATAATGCCTCATTTAGCTTTCTGGGCACCTGGACAGTCAGCGTGATTTTCCCAGGTGACATTGAGCACATTATCTGGAGAACAAAACTCCTTTCAAGGTCAGAAACGCCCGGAGAGCCACCGGGACGGCCAAAGAGGCAAAATCACGGGCCTCGGTCCGCCTGGGCTCCCCGGCTTCCTGGCTGGAATTACACCCCTTGGGATCCTGCCAAACCCCAAGGAGAGTCCGGTTTTGGTGGAGGAGGGAAAAAAAATCCATCTTCCCTCATTCAAAGGGCCACCTCTCACTTGCTGGATAGCAGCCATGAGGTTATTCTAATCCTGGGAATAAAAAGTCTAGGCAACATAACCGCGACCTACCTACCTGACCAGGCTCCTCTCTCCTTCCCCCTGCAACACACACGTGATTTTATCCCTTTTAACCTTCACAACAACCCCACCCCCATTTCCAGAGAGGTGAGGGGACATCCCAAGGTCACAGCACTGGGAAGGGGAGGATGTGGTCTGTCTACAACATCACCTGCTCAGTAATGGAACCCAATGCCAACTGCCCTCTGGGATTTCTAATCCGCTCTCACAGATGGAGAAACTGAGGCCCAGAGAAATGGGGCCACTTGCCCCAGTCACACAGCTGGGAAACGGCAGAGTGACTGGCCGGCATCCAAGCCCAGGGTTCCTGCCATGTGTAAAGTGCTCACGGCCAGGCTTGGTGGCCTAAAGCGAAACTAAGGTTGAAAAGGACGGGCCCTGGGAAGTCTGTGTAGATGCCCTTGGCTTGGCTGACAGCTCAGCTGCTTTTGACCCTGAGTGCCCTTGGGTAGGCTCAACCCCTCTGGGCTCAGTTCTGGCCATCAATGACAGCGTGGGCATACCACCTTCCTACTTCCTCTATTATTGTGTAGGTTAGATTTTATGTTGACTCACTTTTTCATTTAAATAAATTTCAATTGTAAATGGGCAATCACTTTTGTGCCAAAAACAAAAACAAAGCCATCACTACAAATACAAGGAAAATCCAGCTGTATCCCCAGATCCCCACTTGACTCTGCTGCCTGCTCGGGGCTCCCTATGGTTGTGAAAGAGAGAGGGTGACAAATCAATGCCTGAGAGGAGTTTATGGCCCATCAGCGTCCACAGAGACAGTCTTGGTTGTAGAGAGGGACGGAAGGAGAGAAGTAAACAGTTCTGCATTTTAGGACTGAGTTACTCCGAAGGCTGGGTCCAGGTGCCATCTGAATATGTCCCCCAAGGACCACCGGAGGCACCGTGGCATCCACGTTCCTCATTTGGAAAACTCTACAGCAGGGACTATAGAGGCCCTTGCAGCGTGAGGTTATGTCATAAATTCTCTGTATTTGTTGATGTGTGTTTGAGGGGGCTGGGAAGAGGGTGGGAGGGAAGGGTGTCATGCTCACCCCCTCAGGGAGGGGTGGAGGGGACTCTAAGGGGTGCTTGCTGGTTAGTGGTTGAAGTAGGTCTCGCCTTCCCTTTGGAGAAGTTTGCACTACACAATCGCACTCTCCTTTTCCTCGTGGTTCACCCTCAGTTCTCCATCCATCGCTGGAGTCCCTCCCTTCCTTCCCCACCTTCCGCTCCTCCTCTCTCTCTCTCTCTCTCTCTCTCTCTCTCTCTCTCGGATCTAGCCACGGGGACACAAACTTGGGGAAGAAGAGTGGTAGGGATATGGCTGGGGGAAGAAGGGGGGTTTCTTTCTATAAATCAGGGGCAGGAGTACTGGCTTCTATTTCCAGTTCTCCCTTGATTTGCCAGTGGATCTTGGGCAAGTCCCATAACTTCTCTGGGTCTCCATGTGGTTTTCTAAAATAATGCCATTTACTTACATGAAAGATACCTGCAAAAATACCTCCTAGGTCTCGCCTTCCCTTTGGAGAAGTTTGCACTACACAATCGCACTCTCCTTTTCCTCGTGGTTCACCCTCAGTTCTCCATCCATCGCTGGAGTCCCTCCCTTCCTTCCCCACCTTCCGCTCCTCCTCTCTCTCTCTCTCTCTCTCTCTCTCTCTCGGATCTAGCCACGGGGACACAAACTTGGGGAAGAAGAGTGGTAGGGATATGGCTGGGGGAAGAAGGGGAGGTTCTTTTTATAAATCAGGGGCAGGAGTACTG